TTGTGTATAACAACTCAAAGCATGTCAGCACAGACAAAACTCTCTTTGAGATGCTCACTGAGACTCATTCATGAATGATCTTGATGAACTCACAAGAGTACACTATAGAGTGTGATGATGCTCATGAACAGGCTGAGAGAATTCAGAAGATTCAGGAGAAAGCCTGTGAATTCTTGAGAAAGGCTCAAGAGTATCAGAAGAGATACTATGACTTCAAGCATATTACAAAGAGTTTCAAGAAAGATGATAGAGTCTGGCTGAGTCTAGAAAACATCATTATATGAAGATCTAGTAAGAAGCTGAATCTCTTACAGACAGAACCTTGCAAGATTATGAAGAAAGTTAGCTCACAGTTCTATAGATTGAAACTGTCATCTGAGTTGTAGATGTATAATGTTTTTTATATCTCTTTGCTCTGTGAATATAAGAAATTCTTAGAAGAGAACTCTGTGACTCATCACTCTATTTATAAAGCACTAGAGAGTGAAAGAGAATATCAGATCAAAGAAATTATTGACTCAGAGAAGCAAGATCATGAGCTCTGATTCAAGGTTCAGTGACAAGAATATTCTGACAAGATGAATGAGTTCACTTGAGAATTATTCAGGCAGATAAGACATCTGCAGAAGCTGAGACATGACTTTCATACTATGAATTCTGACAAGCCAGAATGATGTGATCTTTGCTAAGAACCTGATTGTGACAAAGACATTAACACTGTCATTTGTAAATTCTAGTCTATAAGATAATGAGTTTCTACTGAGATGAACAGTCTGCAGTGTATGCAAGAAAAGAAGAAAACATATTCTTATTAAAGCTAAAAAACAAGAAAACAAACAGAGCTGTGAATACAATTTAGAGATCAATAAAGAAAAAATAAAGAAAACTCACACTTATATCATTAATATCTGTAACATTCAATTCTCTCATAACTATCAATTTTCTTCTTCAAAGAAGCAGAGAGTATTATGCTCATGATACAGACAATTGTTGCATTTGACATGAAGACTGTCAGAAATGCACAGACTTCAGAGAAGCTGAACACCAGAATATATACAGTTACAGCAGAGTCTTGAAGACTGGTCATCTGCACATGTGACTAGATATCTCTCATGAAGCTGTATTCACTCTCTCAGTTATGCTGGAGTATCCAGCTCAGAAACAATGAGAACACAGAGAGAGAGCTCATCTGCCCAGGTCAACTTCTGTTACAAATTCATGACATTTACATTGCCTTGACTATCTGGATTTTGCAGGTACCTGGGAATCTATCTCTTATTGACAATGGAATTGCAGAAATGCGCCGCGGCGCGAGGACCATTGATAGAAAACCTAGGCATATTTGCATATATCTGGTCAGAGATTGTGCAGGCAGAGAGAGAATAATCATAGACCTGTGAGACTGCAGAAGACACTGATAACACTGAAAGCTTTGCAAGAACTATCAGCTAGAATCTGTAAGGAATTACTTATGAGAAGACTTACAGCAAAGAGAGAAACTGCACTGCTTGAAGCCAGAGGCTGGCCTGAGAAAGGAATGAGATGAGCTGCTGGCTCAAAGATTGAGTGCAGTGACAGGGCTGAGGGAGATGAAGATACAGTTGTGAGTGACAGTGTCTCTGCTTCATCAGCTGGTAAAAAGTGACTGAAGGAGTTACAGGGACACTCATGAGAAGCTTGACAGTAGTCAGACATTGTTTGCAAAGATATTGAAATTGAAAAAATTTTTATTCTTGAGAAGTTCTTGAATCAATACACAGACATTGTCAGAAACACTCTCTCTCTGTTATCTGAATGAAAACACTTCATGAATGAATGAGAATACTCACAGTTTATGAGAATGAGAGCTGTTACAGAAAAAGAAAAAAGAAGATGAGATTCTGCAGACAGATCTGAAGTATTTATACTACTCTAGAGAGGTTTGCTTACACTGTGAGTGATTCTGTGAAACAGTCAGATCACTCTAGTAAACAAGAGTGATTGTGAATTGCAGGCCTGAATCTTTCTATATGACTACAAAGAGTGATTGCAGACTGTGAACATCTTGATTCTACAATTCTACAGAGTTAGTGAAAGAATGGAAAATTCCTCACAATTCTACAGTGTCAAAGAGCAATGATTTGTAAGAATGAATAAAAGATTAACTCATGAATATTTCTCTTTGATGAGAGTGATCTCACAGAGAGTGATTCATCTGTGAGATGAATCTATGTAATGATCATACAAGAACCTTGTGAAAATGATTGAGAGTCAACTGAAACTCTTCTATATGAAAGATACAAGATGAATCTGTGTGATAGTCAGAGAAGAATCTGTAGATCATAAAGAACCTTATGAAATAAGAAACTGAGTGACAGACTCTTTTCTCTTCATGATAACAAGGGATTTTTCCTCACTGAGATTTTTTACAGATATGAAGGGTTTTTAGTGAGTATCACTGCAGTGCTGAGCTGACTATGAAGTCACTCAGTGAAAGGCTTTGCAGATGAAGTCTTAGAGAGGAGAGAATATATAAGAAATCTCACTTCTCACAGATTCTTTATCTCTATTCCTATCTCTCATGTAATCAATAGGGCTAGCGGCTCTTGGCTACACATAACTATATAGACTGGAGTTCATGAATACTATTCACAACTCAGCTTGAATGCTATTATACACTTGATCTCTACATTTATCTTTCTACTGTGAACACTTCTAGTAGTTAACAGTACATATCACGCCAAGCTGCAAACACCTGAATAATCGCCGCGAGCACTTATTCTTACAGTAACTGCAGTGATTTCTTCAGTAATATCAGATCTACTCACTGTAGTCTGTCAAGAGACTGCAGTGATTTCTGATTCATTAATTAATAATCTGTTTATTGATAAGGAAATTCAACCTGAGTGTTTATTATTTCTTATACTCACTAATAATTGATGAATTGACTATGAAATCTTCATAAGAATATCTATTTTTTTAGTACAGAATACACTGAACTTCTCAGAACTCACAGTTGAATCTGATGATTCTCTGACATCTATAAGAAATATCACTATAGTGAGAGAATTAACAGTGAGAAAATCTTCAGTAAGAAACAGTCTTGAAGATCTACTCACTGATTCTGAGATCACTGCACTTTCAATTCTGAAAAACCTCACACATGTTAAAGCTTTCATAGAATGAAAGTATTATTACAAGATCTGTGTTAAAGAGATCAACTGTTTGAAACAGATAGAGATCTGATAACTGATTGAGAGAATATTATAAATAAGTGTTCTCTGCAGTCAATGAGTATTTGATAAAAAGTTCAATAATATAAGTGATATTATCTGCTATAAGACCTGCTGAGTTGTCTGTAGAAATCTTCAATAGAAGAGAGTCAATTACTCAAGAATCTTTGTATCTATTATCTCTACATTTATCTCATAAGCTTCTATGATAATCTCAGCATTCTGAAGATGATATATTCTGTAGATTAATATAGTGACTGCTTTTTTAAATACTTAACTATCTACTGATGAACAGATATATATGAATTAACTCACAGAATTCTGTGAAGACTGTGATGATCTTATATATGAGTTAATACAGAGACTCTACAGTCTTAAGTAAGCAGTACTCTTATAATATGAGAAGCTGTAAAAGATGCTATTATACTCAGACTTCTATATCAGTTTCTATAATACTAAACTATTTATTTATAATGAAAGACAGATCTATATAATTATCTATATGAATAATATCTGTCTCTACAGTCTGAAAATTAAAGATCTGAACTGAGTCAAAGCTGAAATTGCTGCTAATTATAAGATCAAGAATATAGAGAATTTCAACTGTTATCTAAAAATAAAGATTGATAGAGATTCAACTTTATTAATATTATCTCAATCTCTCTTTATAAGAAATCTTCTGAAGAAATTCTTAATAAATGACTGTTATTCTATATTCACTTCTATAAAGAAGAATATTGATTTCATAAATAATAATAAGAAATCAATTGCATATACAGCAGAATTTATTCTATAGTTCTATTAATTCAGTATCAGATCTCTGCAATATCTATCATTCAATACATATTCTGATATGAGCTTTGTCACAGAATTTCTTGAACAATTCAGCTCTCAGTCTATATCAAAGAACTGAGCTGTATACAAGTGTATACTCTGATATCTACAGAGTTCAATCAATGAGAGTATAATCTATCACAGAGATGCTGAAATTGAATCTGTAGTATATACAGATACTGATTGAGCTGATAGAAATTCAGAATTCTGTTCAATCATCAGTTATATTATCTATATAACAGATGATCTCATTGCATGATAGAGCTGCTGATAAACAGAGATCTTTAAGTTATTAACAGAGACTGAATATATTGCATTCTTCAAGACTGTATATAAGCTTATCTGTCTCTGAGAGCTTCTAGAAGACACTGAATTTATCTCATCTCATCTTAACAATCTGAATGTCAATGATCATCTCATTTTCATCACAGTTAATGATCTGACTTATACAATTCATATCAATAATAAGTCTGTTATAGAGCTATTCTCTTCTGAAGCAATTTCACACTGCTTAAAGTATATAGAGATCTATTTTCACATTCTTCAGAATCTTATCTGTAAGAATGAGATATCTATCTGATATATTTTATCTGCTGAGAACACAGTGAATGAGCTTACTAAATCACTTGAAATGTTGAAATATACATGTTGAAAAGAGAATATAAAGAAGATAGAGAAATAAAGGGATAAAAAATGATATATATCATGACTGGTTTTTCATTACTTCACATTTTCCAGTCATTTTTTGTACCTGTACTTGATTTAAAGGTGAATTTTGTATATAGCATCGTGTATAGTTACTCTGGTGAGTGGGGGTGTCAGGTCACGTGATCTGGCTTACTAATCCTTCCACCATATAACTTTCCACAAGCTAGCAACCTTTCAATCACACAAGCTTTACACCTTCCACAAAATAAGAGAGAAAAACTCACCCAGCCATGATGATTCAATGCTTCACTTCACGATTTTGTCATTACTAAATCCCGCTGCCCGGTGCTGCGGAAAATATGGCCAACAAGGATTTGGACGCAGTGGCATAGCCAGCCACCCTGCCACAACAAGCCAAGAATCCCAACATCGGCTAAGGTTCTCGGCCTGCACCTGGAACTGGGCTGGGCTGACGTGTTTTATCAAAATCACAGCTTCATGATAGCATCTGTGTGATTTCACGAGAAGATGTGACTCGTGAGCTGCTGTTTTGTCGATGGCGCCATCATCTCGCACATTGCCGGTATGGGAGAACTTACGAGCCATTGGACGTTGACCCGAACCTGACTTTCGATGGTCGCAACATGGACCTGAAAGTGATGTGTCATGTACGAGGGACGGTCCACTCCATACGATATTTGGTTTTACTAAGTCAACAGTTCACGCTGGAGGGCTCAGCGTCAATCTCTTTCGTATTGAAAGGGGTAATGGATGGCTTTGCAGGAGATCCGGATGAAACAAACCAAGCCTGCGATGGGCGCTGGGAGCTTCGGAAAAGAGGGATTTTTTTGCAGAATGGATGTGGAGAACTGATCATCACGGGTAGCTGGCGGGGATCATCGAGGAAGCAGTACGGAGTACGCTGATCAGTTCGATCTCTGCTCCAACAAGCCCCCGATGACAATCATGGCGGCGATCAAGTCGACGAAACATACGCTTAGAGCTCAGAGACGACGAAATCCGGTGATTCAACTTCTCCAGTCGCTTTTTATCGACTTTCCTCTCCAGTGACATGATAAAGCAAGCCCCTTCACACGCTTACAGCCCAAAAGAGACCTGAAACGCCCTCCAGCTCCAGCCACTCCATATGTTATATGTTCAACAAATACGCAACGTTTCTTCCAATGCAGCGCCCTCTGTTTAAGTTATTCATAAAGATGAAAAATGGGATGGCGATTTGCCGAGACTCGTCTACGACTTCGGCATACTGTCATGGAATTGTTCGCTTCTGCAAAGCAGTTGGACTGGTCACATCTGCACATTTCCAATTTTGGAAAAGGATTTCAAGGAAAAGCGCTGGTCTGCTCATGTGCTCGTAAAAATGAATTAGAATGCCAGGATATTCTCAATCCACCGCTGTTTGCTTGCTCCCTAATTCTCGTTTGCACGCCGCACCGCAGTGCCCGACTTGAACTCTTCCCCGCGTTCTGCATTGAGGACTGAAACGGTGTATGTGACCAGAAGCAGCACGGATTGCAACCGAAGGCGTCCTCATTATCTATCTTGTCACGACCCCTGTGAAATTTTGACCAATTGCTAGAATCATTGATAGTTATGCTGGTCGTGTGTCAGTTGCCAGTGTGTATTTCAACCAATGAATTCCCGCGTACAAGTGCAAGGACAGAAACTAGTTCTGATTTTTCTCGCTGCGCTGTACGCATCCCAGTGCGAACATCTCATGCAACCCAGCTCTCGAAACAAGATCACTCTGTCCAATCTCTTCTAGCTGCTTCCAGAGAAATTATATACGAGGAAATGTCCATCTACGAAATCTCCGGGAACTGGATCGATGCTTCGCCGCGTGGGTACAGTATGAGCTTCGAGCGGGTCTCCGTGGTTTGAAACCATCTGAAAGAGACATGAGAAGAAGCGAGATCGGGCGAACAGGAGTTTTCCGGGCGGAGAATTTATTTTGTTAAAAACCATATTGGCTTGCTTGGCGCAAATTGTGCAGTTGTGGAAGCTCGTGTTCAAGCATGATCATGCTGCCAAGCCCAAAGAAAATTAATGAGAACGACAACAAACCCATGCGCCAGCGTTAACTACGGATGATGGCTCCGTGGAAAGGAGGTTGTTGAGCTTTTGGTCCAAGGAAGGATTTTACATACATACATGTACCTTGGGGCTTGAGCTTTGCCTTCGGCAGGGTACGATCTGTAGATTGTAACGTATGTACCTAAAGTTTCCCGCGCCTAGCTCAGATCGCTCTTATGTTAGCCAATGAAAGCTTGGTGTTCCAATTGCAAGTTCGTGTTCTCACTGCCCTAGGGACCAGAAGGGTACATTTTTCTGCCCGTGTTCGCTCTAGCAGCAATACGAAGAGGGGCAAAAGTTCTCCCCACACCTATCCGATTAACACGCGCTTGGCTGCAACGCACTGCCCTGTCAATCGATGGGTAAACTGTAAATTTAAGGGAGGGAGTGGAGAAGAAAGTGATGAGAGCAAGATGATGAGAAGAAATATAATGATTTCTATAAGATAATGAAATAAAAATAAATCTAGCATTTACTGAAAATGGAGCTAAAAGAATTGTAAAATCCATATCAAAAAAGTCAAAACGCCATGCCCACCAGTATCTATGCAACCAAAACTAATGTATATTATTGAACGGGATAGGAACAGAAATGTGTATGGGTATCTAAACGGATTAAAATGAGAGGGAGGCTCAACAGATTCCAGATGCAATAACGATTTAGGAATCCATGCCAATGGCCATTCTTCATAGTCCAAAAAGTAGGCGTGGAAATTTGGAAATATAACGATGGTAATAAATGCGCAATCTAGCCCAGCAACTGCAACTGACGACCTTGCCAAAGCCCAATCAACGAAAGACATCGAGTCCGATATAGCAAGGGTCATAGCTCGTCATCGAGAAAGGAGATAGGTACTCATCAAAGGGCAGAAGAAAAAGTTGGAAAAGAATCCTTGAACCGGGCTCCAGCGATAGATATAAGATTGAAACTTTTCACTTGAGGAAGGGAGAAAAAAGCCGAAGCATATATTGAGATATCACTCTTTTTTTCTTTAATAGCATTCAGTGCACCGAAGCAGATCCACTGACCCTCGTCGCCACGAGTGTCCACTGGCTTTCTGTTCCCGTTCGGGTAGCCACATCACCAAAGTTTCTGCCGGCCGTATAAGTTGGAAGAAGGTCGTCGTTGTTGACAGAGTCGTATGGGCTGAGGGTGTAATGGCCAGGTATTTGCGCAAAGAGGAGTTCGTCACTGTCGTTCGCGAGTCGGGTCGTCATGGTAGATCTAGGTCTGCGTCCATTCTCCCGAGTCGGCCACAACTGCCATGGGACACTGTGCTGCTCGTCGCCGCTGGTGTCGGGATCCGGGAACATCCATATATGATGCTCGCTTGACCAGATGAGTTTTCCGCTCGCCCTAGCCTGTCGGGGATCCGATCTGGTGTAAGCTGTGAGCATGTCGGAATGGCGATGATTTCCACTCTTGTTTCTCTTCAGCTTCGACCAGAAGCTTTTCCGCATGCCGGTGTCTGATTTGGATTTCTTGATCGTTTTCTCATAGTCGGATGAGAAGATGGAGACAGGAGCATCGAGCGGTTGTCTGATTGCGGATGGTGAAACCGTTGCATAGCACCGAGGTACGGATTCCTGTGGTGAATATAACTCTATCCTTGGTACGTTCGCCATGTTGGTATGTCGGCTTGGAGGTTGCGAACTGCCTCTTATATTTTGATACTGGTTACCTAGGTCGTATGTGAACGGTAGTCTTTGATCGAGTGATGTAGCCATCTTAACGTTAGGTAGATAGATGTACGGATTGTGTGTATATATGAAAGGTGCGAAGGTGAAAGATAAAGCGAAGTATCCGAAGCCAGCAAGGAGAGAGCAAGATGAATGTGTGTCGCAAGTGTCAGTCTATATCAAGATATGTTGGAGAGAAGTGCAAGATCCATCATATCATAATAGCAGCCGATAATGATATCCCTCAGGGGTGGGAGCGATTGACTTATAAAGACAGGCGGGGACGAATCGCGGACGATGATGCCCAAGGACCCTGCCTGGCCCGCCTTTGCCCCAATAGAAAATCCACAGAAAGCACAAAAGATCATCCATGCTAGCATAATTTTTATTATTTTGAAAAGCCCCCATGAGTAAGGAACTATTTAGCTCGGGAGGCGTTGCGATCATAGCATTGAGGCTCGCTCCGCTAATTCCACTTGCCGCTGTCATGGCTGTGTTTCGCTGCTTCGCCATGATCCCCTCAACTTCAAAAAGCAAGCGGGGAAAACGGGAGTTGATCTCGCAGCCAAATAACGGATACGGTCGACGTTATTCCCCTAGTGAGATGAATACGATGGTTCTGAAGAAGATTGACAGCCAGACACAGGGACAGGAGGAGCAAAAAAAAGGGGAATGTGGGTTTGTGTTCCGGAAAACAACCGTTTCTGGCGGATTGTCCAACGTTCCAGTCATAAAGGGCCAAGGACAACCTCACATCGCAGGAAATAATAACGTCTCCTGAATCGTTGGTGTCATGATTAAAGGATCAGATGGGCAATAGCGGCATGGCAGTCAACAGCCGCAGCAACAAAAATAGATCGATTCTGCAAACAGTTGTCAGCAAACAATGTGGGATCTGGATGGTGAGAGAAGAGGCTAGGGAAGCACCACAGTACGCATAGTAAGCGCAGAATGGGGCTGCTTATTATGATTCCAGCGTAAAATATCTCCCGAAACCGTTGCGAAAGCAGAGCGCAATAGGGTCATCATATCCGGCGGCTTCAACTAAGCATTATCATTCTGGTTTCAGTGGTGTTATTTCTTGTTTTGACGCAGAAAATCTCGCGCAGGTCTGCTTTCATCCGTCCCGGTTCACAGATAGATATGCAGGTCCGAGCTGGTATGTTCGAGGCGTCTTCTTCTTCTTCTCCGGTAGGACAGGGACAAAAGAGCCCAATCACCATTAGTCTTTTCTTTTTCTGGTAGTTAGGGGGCCAAACCATACGTATGTCAACTTCTTCCTATTACCCGTCAATATTCCCTCAATTAAGCAAAGTTGATATAGGGAATAGACCGGCGCCGGCGTAGCTTCTTCTCTGTCTTGAAAAGAAGCCCAGCGGCAAAGTGGTCAGCCATAACTACATATGATAGGGAGCGGAACAAGGATCCCCGCTGGACTATCACAAGCCTATATTTAACCCGCTCCCGCTGACATCGACTACCAAAATTAGGCCCCGTCTAGGACCCAATCACCGGCAATCAGCTCACAAAGTCGAAATCCCCGCGCGAAATCTTTAGGCTTTCAACCCTCTTCCCCTATCCGCAGATGGTAATATCACCCGCTGGCCGTCGTGGTCTCAGCTGGGCATTAAATGTTTTCGGAGAGCTTATCATTACCATGGTTTGGGCGTGCTGGCAGCGTTTTGCCTCCCTGCTTCAAATAAGCTGAAAATGGATGCCGATTTTTGTTGCTCTTTTTAACCTGTTCGATTGATCTCTTTCATCTTTGTTGCTCCGCTCACTCTTCATCTCCTTTGTTTAAAAGACAGGCCTTTCAGGGATTCTCTGGCAGGTTGGAATGACCATGCAAACCACAGCATATAACTCAGTATGTATATGTATGGGGGCCTTCTTTCTGACCACATATACATACATACATACATATACATACAATAAAATTAAACAATGAAGACTACTAACTAGCCAGTGAAGAACTTGAGCCATCTATCTAGACCATTGCAGACCTTATGTACGACATGAAATTTGATCCGGAGTAGCTCTCAGATCTCAGATCTCAGATCTCAGATAGAATTAGGCATATAGTGATGCTCACTCTACTAATATACTCACTCTTCTTAGTCTATTGACGATTCTACAATACATGGATCTTCCTCTTCACTACCAACCAGTGGTTGTATGGAACCATATCAGAGAGGAATGACTGAATGTAAGCAAAGTTCTGACATTTAACAATGACAATCGTTAAAAGCTGCAGGTGGAATATGACATACATGTCCACTTCACTGTGACTAAATCTATCATCCAAAAATGAGACATGTGCTGGTGCAGAAGAAATTCGGTTTTGATCAACTTCTTCCAGGGTAATGGTGGTTAGGTTTGCTTGCTCAAACTAGTTACATACGCTGTAGCTGATGATGTTTAAGTGCTTACTTTCTAGTATGTTCTTGCTGCAAGTAAATAGTAATCAAGGACATGGATATCAATGGAAAGGATACGGACGGAGTAGAGAATATACGGGTTGGGTCTTACGGTCGGTCAGAAGAAAGAAAAAAAAAAAAAAAAAAAAAAAAGAAAAAAAAAAAGAAAAAAAAGAAAAGAAAAAGAAAAATTAATAGCTAATTGAACAGAAACAGAGTAAAATTGAGGTATTTTCCCATGTCGAATAAATAAATAGATAAATAATAAATAAAATAAAATCAAGATCAAAAAGCCATGTAACTTCTCTCGTTTCTACATACTCCGCCCATTTCTTTCCGAGGTAAAGCGACAGACAGTAGAGAGCAAGCTGGCACTACATAGTATGGCAAATTGAGGTGCCAGTATTGGGTAACATCGGAACACCAGTGGAGAAAACCGTCACTGGCGATCCCATTGGCTAAGTTGACATGGATGAGGTTGAGGGGAAAATTTGATCCAGGGGGGGGGATGTTTTGTTTCATCGCGGGAGACAGGGTATTTACGATTGATGTCGATGAGAGATCAACAGCAACTTATTAGATATTACGACTGGCCTTTTCCGGAGGAATGGAGGGATGTACATGTACATGTACACGCATGGTTGAGAAATAATGAACAAAGACAAGAGCGATATATAATTAAGGAAATTTGATTGGACACGAGCAAAGACGGCGACGGATCAACGCGGAAATATGGGATCTCGGGTATAAATATGAAAGAAAAAGAAATAAATAAAAAAACATCAAGGAAAAAGGTGAAATGGGAACACGCAAAATTCGGCAAGAAAAGCTCACGTTATTGGTTTTCTCTCTTTTCCCCCTCTAGCCCAAGGATTCCTTCCCGGGATGTGGCATATAACAAGATTAAAGGACAAAAATAGGCTGGCTACAAAAATTTGTATCGACAGAGTTTCTCTCCTGGAGGATTGGACAAGATTTGAGGAAAGAAACGTGAAAAGGAAAAAATCGATGCGATGGTATTCAGTTTGGTTCGTGAACAGGTCCCAAATCAAGAGAACGAAAACAGAAAAGGGGAGCAGAAACCGAAAGTCTCAAAAAGGTGCTGAAAATATACCATCAAATAAAGAGTAGCCAGAGAATTATTATATGCTTCCCAAGAATTCTTGTTTCCCACTCTTTCATATACTAGATATATATTTGAGGGCAGAAAACAAAAGCTCCGGCTTGCTGTTTGAAAACCGAACCCCATGCCCCAAAATGTTGCGTTCGTGTCGGTCATCATGAAGCAAATGGCGAATAGATATATAGCACATGAAGTTAAAAGGAAAAGACTCGCTTTTGCAGCTAAGGGAAACGACTAAGAGAGAGAAAAATATTAACGATGAACTTTCTGCCATTTGATTACCCCAAGTGTGAAAATTAAAAAACAAAAAGCCCAGAACAGAGCTCTAGCTTCTCCACGTTAGCCACAACAACCTCCTAGAGAGCCCACTAGGGGTCCATGCCGAGAGGCCTGCAAACTAGCCAAAGAAACTAGAGCGGATCGTGGGTATCATCATTGAAAGAAAATCTATGCAAGGAAGAGAGCGGCGACGGCAGCAATACCGGCGACGGCGAAGTTGACGCCAACGGAGCTGGCAGCACCCTCATCATAAGGGGGAGGAGTTGGGTTGCTAGAAAAGCTGTTAGAATCAATTGAATTTTAACATAAACTACTTGGGATCAATGCACTTACGTTGGGTAGCCGCCGGTTGGGTGAGGAAGGCCGTCAGAGCCACTTGGGTAGGTGGGGACGGGCTCAGTTGGGGCAGGCTCAGTTGGGTAGATGACAGTGATGGAAGAGGTCACCGTTGGGATGCAGGTGGTGTAGGTGATGGTGGAGGTGGTTGGCTGAGGACCGGTTGGGTAGACGCTGGACTCGCCGTCAGTGGGATAGACGTCAGTTGGCTCGCCAGTTGGGTAAACGCTCGATTCGCCATCGGTGGGATAGCCAGTCGGGGGCTCATCAGTTGGAGAGGCGCTTGGGGTCTCAGATGGGTACCCAGTTGGCTCGGGCTCAGTGGGATAGACGCTGGACTCGCCGCCAGTGGGATCTACACCGGTTGGGTAGACAGGAGTCTCAGATGGGTATCCAGTGGGTTCGGGGTCAACATCCGAAGGAACTGGGTAGCCACCAGTTGGCTCAGGGTGAACGGTGCCTGGGCAGTCGTAGCCACCTGGTGGGCAGCTGGTGATGGTCACATCCTTGGTGGAGTAGACAGTGCTGGGCTGAGGATCGACCGGATAGCCATTCTGGTAGCCGGGGATGGCAAGAGCGGTGCCAGCGAAGAGGGCGACGGAAGCAGCTGTGAAACGCATGTTGACGGTGATGTGGAATTAATTAATAATTGCACGAGTTAAAAGGTCGTGAAAATTATTTGGAGGGAGAAAGAATGTAAATGTAAGCTGTTGTTGGAAAAATTAAAAAGAGCGTGGGCGACCGAAGTCGAAAGATCGAGACACGTCAAGGAAGGGTGCAAGAAGATTGACTTGAGTATGACAGAGAAGAAGAAGAAGAAGAAGAAGGAAAGGAAGAAGAGAAAAAAAGGACAACAACGTGGGCGGCCGTCAACTTTTGTAGGACGTGGGAGATTAACCTGGCAGATCATCGCTGCGCTCCAGTCCGGAAAGGGGAGAGATTGAGCGAGACATTGCCTGGGCCTGCGAGCTGGCCCCAACTGTCCAGGCGCTGCTAGCCTGTCTAGCCTGGCCAGCACAGAGAAACAAGCGGGATAAGGGGCACGCTGCCAGCAAACAGTCGATCTTGTGGGCCGTTGGGATAGCCCTAATTTTGAGCGGGCCATGCAACCTCGCGGTGCTGCTTGACACTTGACTGGACGGCTGTTCTGCCTTTGACCCCCCCCCCCCATCTGGCCTCATTTGGTCTGGCGGTCATCACAGTGTTGGCATCTCGCCTGTTGTTGCGTGGCTTTGGTCTATTTGGAGAGCCCGCTCTCGTCGCCCTCCAGTTCCAGCGCCCACACTACTCCGGTGGGCGGCCTCCTGTATCGTGATCCCTGCCTTCTCAGCCAGTCAGTCCGTCGTGGTGACAGTGCTTGGTTGATCCACTCTGTTTCTGACCTTCATTTCTGCCCCACAGCTCATTTAGTTGGCTCTCTGGACTTATCGCCTTCTGCGGTTCCTGGTTGGATATAGCCACGGCTCTAGATGCCACTGTCAAGCGGGGCCTTGAGCGCCGAAGGATTATTTTACTGTTCTTACGCTTCTGCAGGTACCAACGCGGCACGCCACTGGTATGTATTATTGCTCAGGTTCCTGGCGAGGCGTCATCACGTCGTCCAGACGGAAGCGACCGAAGCCCATGTTTCCCCCAGTAGAGTAGGTAGTCAGTCCCCAAGGGTTATTTTGCTCAAGAGCGCTGTAAGCAAAGATTGGCTTCATCGAACAACCACCTCGAAGCGCGATCTTGTGGCCTTATTCAGGCTAATTGGTGGATCAGAGATGAGAGGATGCCGGATGCTTTTTTTTCTTCCACCTGTCTCTCGTCTCTCGTCTCCTGGCGTGGAGAGTTTTCACGTTGTGGGAAGTCCTCTGTAATAATAGGCCAATCATGCCCGACGACAGAAACAGTGGCTGAACCGCGAACATCAGAATATCTCGCTCCAGCCAGTCATCATCTGTCTACTAAACATGGCCCTTTGTGGAGCCTTTGTGGCCCATCAATCTCTGTTCCCCCAGTCCGACGTCTGCGCTGCTCGGAACTAAAAGAACGCGCGCATTGTTTGCAAACGAGACGACGACGACGACGACGAACGACGCCGAGACGGTGACAGGGGGCTTGTTGTTGCTGGACTGGATCTGGGCTAAAACTATCCCAATCCGTACGTACAGCCCATACCATACAATACAATACAATACCATACCACAATACAGCCGGCTCAAGACCAGCAAAAAACCGCCTGCCGTGCCCCTATCCAATCCAATCCAGCGCAATGAATCAATCAATTGGAGATATATTGATATCTCTGCATGCACAAATCAGCTGTGCTTTTCATTATTGATTGTCAGGACCTCATTCCCATTATTATTATATCCTCCAACAATTATATTATTCTATCATTGATAGATATTTTGTCCTGTAACGTTTGTTTTAAGAAGAGAGCTCAAGCTCTACCTACCGCTCGCTCCCAGCTCCCCATCTCTTGGACTTTATTTCTTCCCCAGGAACGCCACAGTAATTTACCACTCTCTCCCGCACCTCCTTGCCGCGAGCAGAAAATATCCAATCACGCCTCTTCCTTCTTAAAATAGGGCTAGAATGATGGCTGGCAGACCGTGACAGACTGACAGTGGACCGCGGAGAGGAAATTATTATTGGCCTGATTATGGAATGTCTGAAAATATTCCTTTTTTCCCCCTTCTCCCTTGTGCTGTTTCTATGTAATATATTACGCAGAGGTATTGGTTGATACATGGCTACATTCTTCTCTCCATCATCAAAGAACATGGGAGCGCATCTATCAATCCATACATCTGTTCGCAGCGTATGATAGAGTATGTCTCGTTCGCTGCTGCTGCTGCTGCCGCTGCTCCTTGCGTTCTCAAGGACAGATCGTACTAATAGTGTGGTGCATAATATTGCATCTATGCGACATTACACCTATAAATAAACATATACATTGCATATTTGCCACACGCACGGCTGCATCTTCAACCGCTGGTCGAGACCTGAATGATGTACGGAGTAGATGGAATGGTTTCCATTTAATATTAGAAGCTTCCCCGTGTCGAAGAAGCCAGCCTAACTAACTGTGATCCGACGGCACGGCAAGACGAACTTGGAAGCTTGGTCCCCTTTTCCTCTTCAACCTTGCCTTGCCATGCAATTGCAATGATGCATTTGATACTGCTGAGTCTAGATCCTGGATACACAGCATTATTATTGTCAAAGTTCAAGGCCATCCATCATTGTGTACTCCGTACTCCGTATTCCGTATGAGAAGAAAGAGCAAACGATTATGAATCCATTCTTCCATCCCGTGTCACTAACACGATTTCATTCTTCAATTCTTGTCCTTTCTGCAATGACCTCCCTCCCTTTCCCCAGACAATAATGGATGCCGATTGCCCACAGTGAAACGAGCCGGCGCAAAAGTTTGTTGCCATCATCCAAAACGAAAACGCTAGTTAAGTTACCTCTTCAGAAACGCTTGCACTTTATCCGGCAGTCAAAGATCTTGACTCGGTATCCCTTCGTGATTGGCTCCCCTCCATTGAATCAGCAGAATAAATTCGGGCCACTTTTCGCGCAAATTCTTTCTTTCTCATGTCATGGTTGGCTTGAAGGACAAAAAAAATTGATTTGAATTAACCGCCTGGCGTATTTGTCACGTTGGTTCTTTTTCGGGGGATTTTGTCCACCACCGGCTGGCTGCTTTCCCCATCCTCCAGGGCCCCCTTTTTTCTTCAAGCTTTCTGGGAGTTGAGCTACCCCCACCCACTCTTATTTATATCCACTCTCCCCTTTTTCATGAACTTCTCCTGCTCAATATGTGGGGCTTTTTGCTTATCTATCATCCATCTCGCCACTGTGGGAATGCTTGCTTGAGATTGGCTGCCAGGACGGCTCAAAAGTTTCAACATGTTTCATTCATCTCCGAGCCGATGATTTGGATTTGAGATAGATAACTACCCACTTGGGAGATATGATGATTATTGAAAACAAAAAACCCCTTCCTTTTCTTCCCTTCTTCTTCAAGCGGTCAATGATACTGTCTGCGACAATTGCTGATAGATCGCCCTTTGTCTCTTGTTTTGCCAATTCACCAACATGCCAAAGACCTCTTGCAAACCGACCGCTAATATCGCAGAGTGAGTAGCTTTCTCAGGCATTAAGAAGGGCTATGACTCCATGATTCAGCCAGGAACTGAAAGGTCAGGCATTTCTTCGAAGCACCCAACGTCAAATATTCAGACAACATCGTCAACCATGTACGGTCGGTGCATTTGGCGCATGAAGGTGTGCCAATGACAGCCAGCGCGGTTTTGCTCTCGTGCCCTGCGGCCATCCATTAGTTACCCAGCTCGCATCGCATTGATATCTTTTCAGACTTTTGAAACATATTCGGTTTTTCCTTACTGAAATGGGATCCTTTTAGTAGTGTTTCTTGCTTTCTCTCTATCCTTCTTCCATTTGCTTTCAGTCTCGAACATCGAAGCTGAACGAATGCTGCTGGCGTCCATCTTGCTCTGCCGTTTTCGGACTGACTCCAATAAATTGTTTCTTGGGCCCAGGGACTTACGTTGACAAAAATTAAGGGATTTTTCTTTGATCCTTCTGTTTCATTCGCTCTTGCGGGAATTTTTTTTTTTTTTTTTTCTCTTTCTTTTTTCAATAATAGACAAATGGGAAATGAAAATGCCATGCGTCTAATGCATATTGCTTCCCACTACATATGTACATTTGTGAGAAAATCGTCCTGTACAATGAGTGTGGCCGCAAGAATTTTTCCTTCTTTGGCTTGCAATTTTCATTGGACCGTTGAGTGTCCTGGGTATTGAACGCTGACTCCAAATATCCAAATACTACTACTGCCCCCATATTCTAGTGACGACTCCTGAAAGATGCGCTCTCCACTGATAAAAACCAAGGATCCCAAGCAAGCCGTCAAAATAAATCCGAGAATGTCGGACCCCCCTCACACGCCGAAAAACTACGAATAATTCCTTCCCATTATCTGTACTGTCATTTTAACATGTCAGCTACGCGCATATATTCATTCCTCCTCCATGCACATACACACACACAACACACACGGCCAGACCTTTTCGCCTTAATCCTGCGGACAGCGCCAACGGGCTGGCACAAAGGAGAGTTAAACCCCCTTCCTCTATTTGAGAAACAATTTATTTTAAGGACAATTGATGATTTCTCCCGTTCCGTATAGCATCCTGGCGCGGGCGTGAAGAAAATTGTGGAATACCTCTTTCTCTCCATCTCCTGACTGCACTGTCAACCACCCCCGCAACGAAATATTGGATGGAAAGCAATAACTCTGTCTCTGAACACCAGGCGGGTGAGATAGAGAAGATACAAACATACTCATCATCCGCCCGAGTCCTTTGTTCACATACCAACTACCAAAGGGCTTCCGTAGTAATAACCCCAGCACATACGGGCTGCCATCCAGACCTACGCACGGGTCATGTTGCTTGCTGTTGATAGACATGCACCTAAGCTAATTGGCAATGTCTGGAGTGTTGTTATTTTGTGTGGACAATGACCCTTCCTTTGTGCTGGGTTTTTTTTTTTTTTTTTTTTTTTTTTTTTTTGGCCACAGCCCATTGAATAGGGCTGAAGGGTGAAAGAGGCCCTTGTGGGATGGATGCTTGTGTGTTTTCCCCCGTAACTAGATGTTCGGTCCTTGCTAATCCCATCGCCGCTTTCTATAATAGGAACCATCTAACACACGACCTGTGATTTTTTAAAGTTCTCTCTACCCTCTTAAAAATCCGCGATATATCCATGTGGATGAAGGAATGTATCCTATTTATGAATTCCTTTTCTCGGTCGGTACATAGGTGAATTGAGTCAATGTAGCTAGCTACCTCACTCATTAGCCCTCCATCCTCACTACCCCATATTTACGTACATGTACATAAATATAGCCAAGGAAGCATTGACAGGAAAGCAATAAAAATGAACCGACTTCATATTCGTAAGCTCTATAGAGTGGGGCCGTTTCTATCATCTAATCCAAGTTGTGTATATATGTATATTATGTATATATGCGCTATTTGGGAGCCGGGAACGTTTTTGTATCCCGCATCCCCTGTGTCCTGTATCTTTTATTCATTCCCCTTTCGTTTTTTCCCCCATCTTACGCCAGCAGGAAGCAGAATCCTCGTTATCCCGTATCCCGTACTTTTATACCCATCTATCTGGAATACGTACCAAGGGGAGAACAAATGAAGAGGAAGCAAAAAGGGGGGAATTAACCAGAAAAGAAAAAAAACACCATGAATCCCAAATGTCCCCAATCTACTCCGGCTTTTTAGCAACGTAATGTCTCTGGAATAGATCATTCTGAATCCACAACAACTTATTAAACGCCGTAATCATCCCCGTCTTCGTCTGCAAATCCACCCCCTCAGCGCCCAGAATAGCCTGCAGCACCATCTCCTCCACAAACGCCAGCAGCAGCGACATATGCATAACCTCCACGCGCAGCTTGGGCCGCTTCTCCCGATGCCTGAAGCCCGCCTGACCCGTGTGCATGATGCCGACTTTATCCAGGTAACCCCAGCACGAGCTCTCGTCGGACCAGTCCTTGTTGCTGACGAGGCGGACGAGGTAGTTTTTGAGGAAGTCCTTGCGGTGGACGATGTTTGGGTGGTCGAGCGCGAGCTCTGCGACGCTGCCGGCCGCGGCTGGTTCGTTGGTGTCCTGCTCTGGCTGCCGGGGCACGAAGGACTTGGCGGTGATGTCGAAGGAGAGGAGGCGGGTGTAGACTGCGTCTAGGACGGCGGGGACGGCGGGGGCGATGATCTCCTTGGCGGCTTGGATGAAGGCGCCGTCTTTCTCTGTGAAGTGGAGGAAGCCCTTGACATAGCTGAGGCGGGATTTGAGGTTTGCGAGGGAGGCCTCGTCGATGTGGGTTATGGTGCGGCCGCTGATGACGGTCATGTTGGTCGTGTTAGGTTTATCTGGTGGGACTTTGATAAGGAAGGTGTTTGAGGTTGGGATATCGGGTTGAGGCGATTAGATGCAAATGGGTATCGAGGTAGCAAGACGGAGAATGGACGAAAGGGAGGAGGAGGTTCTTGTCTAACGCGTGGTAGGGAAAGGAATGAATGATATTATTGAAGTATATTCTTAGTTGGATGATACATTTCCAGATTAAACATGGACCGAACAGGAGAGAATTGGCCGCCCTATATACATATGCCATTTCCTCCCGCTTGACCCAGGTGGAGCAAAGAACCGAGTGCGAAAGCATAGGTTAGATGAAAAAGAAAATGATTGACGACAGAGTGGATATCTTGACTCCGTACCTAGGTACGTAGCTCTCAAGCTCCCGTCATGGAAAGTTTAATCCCTGCCAGCTAATCCATCCAACGAAACGTATGATTGCTCTCTATGTAAGCTCCGTCATAACATTGTTAGCCACGCAGCTGAAGTGCATACTCATTTTGCTCTACGGCAAAAGTTCTCAGCCATCGGCTCTTCATAGCAAATGAAACGGAAGGCCAACCAACCCCCGATTGCCGAAGGATTGATTGGCCGCAAAAGCACACGTAGCAACCAGTGGCCTCATCCGATCGGTTGGTTTCTTCACCGGGGAAAGGAGACAATATCCTGATGTCTGGAACAGAAAACGATATCAAACCCGTTCGTAAGCACGCCCAACCAAGCCCCAATCCAATCCCGCCTTCAATGTCGTCAACATCCGAAAAAAAAAAACTTAGGTCACGGGACCGCGAGGCCCAGCCCTTAGAGAAATCCCTCAAGCCCGTCAAAGCCCTTCATTGGGCGAGCGATTTGATTCTGGCGGCATGTAATTGGCCAGGAGCGCGGCTTTTGTCGACGCCCGTTCGCCTATTAGTCAGCCGGGATGGAAGACAGCCGAGTGGTGTTGACGCCAAGGCCAGGGCCACGGGCGCCAAATGGCGGGAATCGGAGCGGGAAGCGGAACCATTCCAAGAAATCCAAGACTTCCAAGACAACGAGTATGTAAGGCCTAATGGGTGACAAGAAAAAAAAAGAGGAAGATTTAACGAGAGCTTTATGAGTCAAAGGGAGCCTTTTGTATGTCCGAGTAAGTGCCCTCCGAGGAGTTACTTTCCCTAGATACCTTGTGCTCGGGCCGTGGATTGGGGTTTTGCTGCCTGAGTTTGCCATTGCTGCCTGGTAGATTTCCTCCGATTCATCCCGAGGGCCAACATACAGCGTTAACACACAGCACTACTTATTAAATAATAATAATAGCGATGCCAGTCAGTTCACCACTGCACCCTTTTTTCCTTTCTTCAGTTAATAAATATATACTCCTCATTTTTTCTCGGTTGGTGGTTTTTCTCTTTCTTTCTTTCTTTCTTTCCTTTTCTTTCTCTCTTTTCCCCTATATTTCCTCTATATAAATCTAGGTCCCTGCCCTGCTGAGTTCCAACCAGCTCCACAACTCCTGACCCTCATGCGGATATAGAACAACAAGTGATCACACCTCTAACTCAACCCTGAAGCTCCCCTGCCATGATCTAAGGCAGTTTTTGTGTCACAACAAGATGATAATGGGAAGTTGGGAAGAGAGTGGCTTCCAGGTGCAGGTGATGTGACATCTCAATATATCCCCTCCCCGGCCTCTCTTTTTCTCCATCAGTTACAAAAACACAGCATGGCATGAACATCAGTCAACAGAGGTACTGTTTCGTATCAGAGAAGAATGATTTTCAGACAGGGACAGAACAAACCCCCCCCCCCCTCTCCTCCCGAGAATTGAAAAAACACAGCATCCCATTCAGATTTTACATTTTTCACCTACACAGCACAGAGTTAACCCAAATTCGTAATCTACAAACGGCTAGAAACAGAAAAACTGAGGGGGAAAAAGAAGAAAAAGAAAAAGAAAAAGGTTACACCCGAGGAGCACAAAAGGGGACAGCTATCGTTTACAAATACATACAGTAGGTAGGTACCCTATTATTTATTCAACTTCCATAACTTATCGCAAGTTGGTCCTTTGGACGGAGTATAGCCAGTTGTACGCATAGTAAAGCGAGGAGTATGCAAGTATTAGTGCGATCGTACGTAATGTATGTACTGTAGTTACTTTGTGACCGCCACGGGTCTTCCAGTGCCTAAAGTTCCCCCCCCCCCCGGCAGAAGGTTGTTTAGGAATGGGATGAAGACTCGGGCTGTCGTAGAGTTGCACCTACGCAGCTAGTAATAACGGAACAGCCATGGAAGGGAATTAGTTCTGTATCCGAACGTCCATGGTTAGGGGTTGTTTCTCCTAGAGTATGGTCGCCGCTCTTGTCCCAGATACACGGCTTGGGGTGGACGTTGGACCTCGAGGGCGGAGTGTGTGGTGTGGGTCATGGAGAAAGGTGGGTTTTAGAGAAACGAAGAAGAAAAGCACACTGCTAGCTAATATCCGTGGGATAGGTAGGGTAGGTTATCATGAATCATGCTCTTGGACACGGGAAGCGGCTTCGTTTTCAGCCCTCGCATTCTACCCATCCCATTCCAAATAATAGTCGTAACATTGAAAACACACATAATGTAACTCGTGATACACAATTCAAGGACAACGGCATCTCCTCGATCTAGGTACTACACCGTGGTACGTAAGTGCAGTACCCAGGCAATTGGCGGAGAGTTGCACTCCTTGCGCCATTCATATCGTTCAGCTACCTACCGGTGTCATATGAGGCTGAGGTTGACCGGTCAATCACAATAATGCCTCTACCGCGGTCCAAGAGCGGGGCGAGTGGGAAACGGATCAAAAGAGAACGCGAAAAAAAAAAAAAAAAAAAAAAAAAAAAAGACATGGAGAGGGCTAGGGCTGAACGCCAACGAGCGCTTCAGCGAGCTCCCCGTCAGGACTCAGGGACTCAGCAAGCATCACGAGACACGCGCCGGCTCCCCGAGGAGGTCGCAGGCTCCTGGCGTTGACTGGTTCGTTGGATATGTCCATTGCTGCACGGAGTGTCAGGGATGGCGATGAATGCGGGCTTTTTACCAATTTATAAATTTTTGATCCCGGCCCAGCCACCATTGTTGTCTCCCACTTGTTCCCTGTCGGAGTCTTGGAGGCGGCGGGTTTATACGCTGCGTATATTAAACTTTGTATGTTAGCTCTTTGATTAAGGGTCCAGGCGCCCGGTCGGCGGTTGGTGAGGTTATAGTGAGGCTAGAAGTTCCGGTTTTTCCTTTTCCTTTTGGTTTTTTCTTTTTCTTTTCTCTTTTTTCGTGTTGGTTGTTGTTGTTCTCACACTGTAACGGATAGCTCATCGCGACCTGTGGGCGGCATAGCTGGAGGTACTGTAACTATCCGGCTGGCATCTTGCAAGTAAGTTCTCGCTGAGGTAAGTGTGCAACCATTATTATCCAAGGTATTGATTGCCCAGGGTCTTTTATTCTCAATTCCCACAGCATGACCAGAAGTTGAGCCTCAGCGAAAAGAGTGGGATGATGTACTCCGTAGTCTGTAAATGGATTGTGAAAACCTTTTTCTGGCCCCCGGTAATTATCCGCCCAAGCTGCAGCTCCAGCCCAAGGACTGTCCAATGTCGGTTGCCAGTTGGCGAACAGCCATATCAGAACCACTGAGCACACAAGGCAAAACAAAGTAATTCTGCCTCTCCACTTTTTGGCTCCTTGATTTTTTGATTCCTTGCGCGTTCCCCTTCTTTTCCCCTTGTCCTCTCTCTCTCTCGCCCTTTGTGAATTAGGTGGGTAGGTTCAACGCTCCACCACACGCACGGCGCGAGGCTATTTACTTCAGCTGAAGCAACACGACACGTAGCTAGATCGGGGAGAGTTGAAGGTGTGAGTAAAGCAGAATAATTGAATGTTGGAGGATAATATCGATAATTAGAAAGGAGGAAAAAAGAAATATTCTGTATTAGTTTCTCCTCCTTCATTTGATTCCCTTCACGGGTGGCATGATTTTTCCCTGGTAGTTGTATATTTAACTAGTCGTGGTTATTATTATTTGGGGGCCGTTTCTTTGCAGGGGCTCAACCGTTGAAAGGGACAGACAACAAACCAGGTCCAACAATAAATAACAATAAATACTAAAATATACTTATTTATACATGTACTTCCAAGCAACCAACTCACCACTCAACCAAACCACTCTGAGTACCAGCGCCAACAACTGTGCGGCCGTGGGCTGACCCAGACCCAAGACCCAGACCCAAGACCCAGACCCATACCATACCAGACCGACCAGAGCAAGGCAAAGGCAAAGGCAAAGGCAAAGGCAGAGGCAGCAAGCACCAGGCAAGGCAAACAGGAAACAGGCACACACTCCTCCTCAGTTTCAGGGCCCGCCCTTCTTTCATTCTCTGCTTCTTCCTCCCATCCTCAACTCTATCCCTGGGGCAGTCGGTCCTCTCTCATCACCATCATCGCCCTTGGGATTATTATCCCTTGTTGTACTTGTCGATTCCCCTCCTCTTGGCTATTGGCATGTTTATCTAGTGAGTGACGACAGGACAGGAGGCGGTCATAGCAGCAGATCACCGCCTCCCCTCCCCTCCTCCTCCTCCTCCTCCTCTCCACTCCGGGCCCCGTTCCTTGAACCCCTCTGTCCCCACCCCCTCCACAACCTCCATCTCTATCGTAACCTCATATCTCCAGAGAACACGTTCCCTCGATTCTTTTTCTCTTCTACGTCGATTCTGGAGCCCATTGCCCTGGAGCCCGTGTTTAACCCCGAGCGAGTTGCAAGCGACTTTGCTCTTCTGTTCACAATCTATCTAAATTTGACGCTGGATTCCATGTTGACACTATTTTTACCAGGCAATATACATCCTTCCCATACCTGACTTAAGCCTCCTTCCAATCGCTGCAAGCCCAAGTCCGCTCTTAGAATAGTGCCTCTACATTCATCCGACCTCGAAACCCGTTAATAGTGACGAATGTCAGCAACATATCTGATCCGTGACTTTTTATCTGATCCCTCTACCCACTCCTAGTTATCAGCCTCCTTTCGCTCCGCTCCCCCGCAGATCCGCCCTTTACCAGTCAACGGCAGTGCTCGAAAGCTAATTTCTCAGCCACACTCTCTATAATACATATATCCTTCGACTCTCCCCGGCCATATATAATCAGCTCCCCGTCCCCTTCGATTCGCCTACCTATCCACGAACTTGTGTTCGATTAACCTGGATATTGCTCCCGAGATACTTGAAGGAAAAAGGTCCGCCGTGACCCTGTGAAAGGCACTCATGTCCAACATGTCGTCTCCAGCCCCCCTTTTAAAGATACCGACTCCGGGTTCCAACCGCAAACAAGCACCTCGTCTCAAGCTGGGGATCCCAGGATCGCCCAAGTTGAACCCTGTAAATTCAACTGGAATTGGCACAAACTCTGGTCCGGATGTCCCCCAACTGTCTCAACCACGTCCTGCGCGCCCAGCTCCTCCTCAGCTGAGGTTAGCCACACCCAAGGGGAGTAAAGGAACTCCGCAAGAGGCAGGCCCTCTGCACAATGGACGACCATATATGCCACCCTTGTCGGGTTCTTCTGCAACTACCTACAATAGTGACTATAGCAACCACTCAAGGTCGGGAAGCTTCACCACATACGATGGCCGGGCCAGTGGGCCCACCTCAGCTACATCTTCGAACTATTCTGCCTTATCTTTCGCCATGGGTTTGAGGCAACCTCCAGGAGGAACCCCTGACCCCACTTCTGCTATCAGCTCGGTATATTCCGACCGGGGGGATGGTGGCTTATCGATGGAAAGAGATAACAGCGTGAATGGTTTGCTACCGGATCTAGAGAAACTGAGTTTAGAGAAAGGGCGGCCGTTAGATGTGGAAGACCTAGACGATGAAGGTTGGCTGGCCGCCAGCTCTCAAAAGAAGATCATTGAGCTTGACAGTCTTGGTGAGGGAGCTGGTGGTGCCGTCACGCGTTGCATGCTGAAAGGTGGGAAGACAGTGTTTGCTCTAAAGGTTGGTAATGCCAGTCATATATTCATATTAAACATCCATCTAGGCCTGTCACTAATACTCTCTGTTCGATATTTACAGATTATCACCACAGATCCAAACCCAGACGTTAAAAAGCAGATTGTTCGAGAACTGAATTTCAATAAAGACTGTGCATCGGAACATATTTGCCGGTATTACGGTGCGTTTATGGACAAGTCAACCAGCACCATATCAATTGCTATGGAATTTTGCGAAGGAGGCAGCCTGGATAGCGTTTATAGAGAAGTAAAAAAGCTTGGAGGACGGACAGGAGAGAAAGTTTTGGGTAAGGTAGCTGAGGGCGTATTAAACGGCCTCACCTACCTACACGGGCGTAAAATTATTCATCGAGGTAAGACTGCCGGTCTGAACAAGTCATCTGACCCCCAATATATCCATCAACTAACCTTCCTTCACAGATATCAAACCTTCCAACATTCTATTATGTCGAAATGGCCAAGTCAAGCTTTGTGACTTTGGAGTCAGCGGCGAATTCGGCACCAAGGGCGACGCAAACACATTTATTGGCACATCTTATTACATGGCCCCTGAACGAATCACGGGCCAATCTTACACCATCACGTCCGATGTTTGGTCTCTTGGAGTAACGCTTCTCGAAGTAGCTCAACACCGGTTCCCATTCCCTGCAGATGGAACAGAGATGCAGCCACGTGCAGGCCTGATAGACCTTTTAACATACATTGTTCGTCAGCCAATCCCACGTTTGAAGGATGAACCTGAAAACGGCATAAAATGGAGTGAAAACTTCAAATATTTCATTGAGTGCTGGTGCGTTTATCTACCCTGTTTCTTATTTTATTTTACCTCATTCTTTTTCTTGTGATTTGAGACAACCAATGCCTAACAGGAACTGACACTTATAAAATTGCATAGTTTGGAAAAGGAGCCACCAAGACGAGCAACACCATGGCGGATGGCAGAACATCCCTGGATGCTCGAAATGAAAACCAAGAAGGTCAATATGGCACATTTCCTGAAACAGGTGTGGGGCTGGCAAGATTAGAGCCTGTTGGGCAACTACAAATGGACGGTTGCCAGCACGCATACTCCTCCTTCCCTTCCTACCATCCTTATTCTAAGACTCGCCAACTTGGTTCCAATCTACTACAACTTCACCGCGACATACCATCTATCTTGTCCCGCGCTTACTGGGACATCACACTTTTAACCTGAGCCACGTGCCCCGTCATTTAATGAACAAATTATCCTTATTTAACGGGCTACTTGGTCGCGTCCGTCTTGACGTCACATTTCATGAATTGTCTGAGATGATTTTTTCTTTTCTATTTTGCTGCATTTCGTTTTCGTGTTCTTGCGTTTTCTGACTTTTCATTTCTCTCATGGCTTCCACATGACCACGAATCTCGCTATACATCTCCTTTGCTTTATTAAACTGG